CAGTTTGAGTCAGCACTGACTCATAGCTGACCCTCCAGCTGGTTTGCAGAAGTTGTTGACTGAGAGGGAGGAGATTGCTCATCTTTTTCCCATGGAGCAGCTGTTGAATTCAAACCTCCTTCCTTTGAATTGGCAGCGCACCTCCTTACCCACAAGGCCATCAGAGAGGAAATTTCCATTTAGGACATCAGAGACTCTAACCTTGGATCTTGGATAGAAGTCAAAGGTCTATGTTGTCAGGACCCACAGGGACAGCAAAACTATGCCAATTATTTTTAAAGAGACTGTTGTGTAGCAAAGAATTTCTTAAACTGGCATTATGATCTTTTAGTCTATTTATACTGGATAAAATTGATAACAGCAACCCAAAAGATAGGAAATTTAGGGGGTATTGAGTTTATGCAGACTGGAGAGAAAGAACTCAGGAAAGGAGGGCAAAAGTAGCTGCACATCTGAGAGACTGTCATCAGCGTTATCAGCTTGTTCACGGAGAAGAGGTTGAATGGGCATATGGTTTTGCTCTGTATTTTCTCTAAAGTAAAATTACAAATCTTTTTAAAAAATCATTTACTTAATGGTACTTAGTAGAATTGAAAAGGCAAAAAAGGGAAAACTATTTAACATAGAAAGAATGGCAGTAGGAAGTGACTTTGCCATGGAACTGGGAGAATAAAGAAACATAGCCTGAGGGAACTAGAAGCTCAGAGAAGGCTTCCATGAAGATGCGACTCAGACCTCAGAAAAGGGGATACTGCCCAAATGGCCTGGGGATCTCTGAGGGGACACAACAAAGCTGATTCCAAAGAGTTTGGAAGAAACTGGAAACAGGAAATAACCTCTACTGGAATCATTTGTCATTTATAGCATGAGACAAGCAACTGGCATAGTTGAACCGCTGGACTTTTGATTAGCAGTCCAGAGCTTAATCTACTACTATGCCACCAGGGTTACTTAGAGGAAACAATGTTGGTGGGATAATGTTGAAAAAAGCCAAGGGCAAAATCTAAAAACCCGTCTCTCTGTTCCAGCCTGCTATCCACCCTCACTCTTGCTCTATTGCTCTCTTGGCCAATGTCCAATTACCAGGGGTCATCTGCAGAGCAGAAACTTGTGCAGAATCCCAGCCAAGTGTCACAAAGCTGGCTGTGGTGTGTGGCTTTAGAGCTGAAGGTCAAGAACTTAATAAGCAGCATAAATAACTAGTTCACGGAGAAGTGGAGGGGGGACAGAATTACATCTTCTTTTTTATTTGCTTCTGTCAAAAGTTTTCAAGTCCTCATGGCATAGTTCACTTCATGTGCGTTAACCCAAAGGTCTATAGTTCAAAGCCACCCGCTGCTCTTCTGGAGAAAGCTAGGTGGTCTCCTCCTGTAAAGGTCGACAGTTGGAGAAACTCAATGGAGAGTTAGTTGCTATGAGTTAACAGCAGTGGGTTTATAAAATAATCTAGAATTTTCCTTCTATCTTGGTTTCCTGGTGTTGCAGTAACAGAAATACTAAAAATGGGTAATTTTAATGAACAAATTTGGTCCATAGGGTTTTTGAAGGCCTGTTAATTCGAAAGTTGATGGCTAGTCCTTCTTCCTAGAGTGTCTTAATTTGGAAACACAGCTGCAGGTTTTCAGTGGCAGTTAAATGAATGGGAGGAGATTGCCCATCCTTCTCCCGTGGAGCAGCTGGTGGGCTTGAACCGTGTGCCTTCAGGGATTACAGTGCAGCTTCTTGCTACTAGGCCACCACAGCTCCCTCAATACTGACAGACAAGCAATTTTACCTTAATGGAGCAGATGAAAGATCTATAAGATAAATTTGGTAGTCCTGTGACACTACCCCACCTACCCACCTGCCAGTCCACCAGCACTCCATCCCCCCGAACCCCACCACAATCCCTATTAAGTTCCTTCTACGTGAGGCCTGAACTCCTAATATGGTGTTTAGGCTTCAAGTCACTGCTATGTACTCATTTTCTCCCCCAGTATGCCTGGTCACCTCCCTGCTCAGGCATTGGCACCTCCCTTCCTCATTTGACTGTCTCCCCTCCTCATGCCTCCATCTTGCTTGGGGCCACAATCCATATCCTTGATACAGCAGTCAGGAAATCAAAAGATGAGTTGCTTTAGGAAAGTTAGCTGTCGGGGATCTCTCCAGAGTGCCGAAGAGCAATGATGTTAGACTAAAGACTAAGGTGTATCTGATCCAAGTCATGGTCTTCTCAATTACTTGCTATCTTTCTGAGAGCTGGGCAGTGACTAAAAATGCTAGAAGAAGAATTTGTGCTTTTGATTTGTAGTACGAGAGAAGGGCATGGAACATACTATGGACTGCCAAGAGAACAAACAGGTTTGTCCTGAAGAAGGTGAAACTAGAGTGCTCCTTGAAGGCAAGGATTTTGAAGCTCTGTCTCACATGCTTTGGCCACATTGCCAGTAGGAGCCAGTCCTTGGAGAGGGACATCATACTTGGAAGGGTGGAGGGTCAGAGTAGAAGAGAAAGACCCTGGATGAGATGGATTGACACAGTGACTGAGGCAATGAGGGCAGGTGTGTCAGAGACAGGGAACTGGCTAAAATAGGGCAGGGATCAAAGATATTTATTGTTCACAGGGTCCTTAAGAGTGGTAGTCAACTCAATGACACATAACAACAATAACAGACAAAATTGTACATTTCCACAATTTGGAAGATTAGAAGTCTGAACTCAGAGCACAAGCCCTAGAAAGTCTCCCTGTATCCTATCTGAGCTCCTTGGTGATCTCCCCACCCCAATTATGTGTGTTTGTATTTGTGTCTACCAGTTCCTTTTATACCTCAAAAGTCATCAGGTTTTAAACACACACTACACTGATAAGACCTCATTGACATCACAAAGAAAACCCTTTTTCCAAATGACATTACATATGTATAGAGGCTAGAATTGCAACAAATACTTTGTGGGGGAGGGCTGCAAAATGCAATCTGTAATACCCTCTGTCATAAATAAGAGGAATGAAAATAAGGGCAGGGTCATAAAACAAAACCTGTGAGTATAATGGGAATCACAGATGGTTCCAATCACATTAGAGTTGTTGCAGACATACCAAATTATCATTGATACTCATCATCACGACTTGAAAATTATAATATGTGTTACATTTGCTGCTAGATAATTTGCTAATGTTGTTGCTATATGCCATCGAATCACCCGTGACTCATAGAAACCCTATGCACAGTGGCTCTGAACCCTGCCCTATCCTGAGGCAATCTCACTGACTCAGACACACCTACCCTCGTTATTCCAGTTATCATGTCAACCCATCTCATCCAGGGATTTCCTCTCTTGTGCTGTCCCTCCACCCTTCCAAGTCCTTCTCCAATGACTGATCCCTACTGGCCACTGCCCAAAGAATGTCAGATAAGGCTTCAAAATCGTTGCCTCCATGGAGCAACTTGGTTTCACCTTCTCCAGGTCAGGCCTGTTTGTTCTCTTGGCAGTCCATGGTATATTCGATACTCTTCTCCAGAATCACATCTCAAAGGCATTGATTCTTCTTCTATCATCTATGACAATGATGACATTGTCCAGCTCTCTGATGTATAGCAAGTAATTGCAAAGACCATGCCCTGAATCAAGTGCACCTTAGTCTGTAGACTGACAACATTGCTCTTCAGTACTCTGGAGTGGTCTCTGACAGCAGATTTTTCCCAAATTAATTTGTCTTTTAATTTTCTGATTGCTGGTACCAAGAGTGTTGATTATAGAGCCAAGCAAGCTGAAGCTGTTAACAATCTCAGTCTCTTCTCAAACAGCATGCTGCCAATAGGCCCGGTGGTCAAATCCTTATTTTTTGATGTTGAGCTTCAATTC